ACACCAGGAAGGGACTGCGGAAGTGAGCAGAGCAAGGCTGGCTGTCAGTAAAAGGCATCTTCTTGAGCCAGCTGACCATGAGAGCTAGTGGAGCTTACCCGGCTGGGGAAACTGCAGGAGCCCAGCTGAACACATCCCTGAGGGAGGAGGGGACATACACAGTAACTCCCATCAGTTATTGAGTGTGTTCATTCATGGGCCATCTGTATGAGTGGCATAGAAGGTTCCAGTGGGAAGAGAAAGCTCTTGGGCAAAGTGCAGGTGCCAGCGGCTGGAAGCCAGACAGATGTGCGACGAAATGGTAACCGCAAGGCGGTGGGCCTCCCGCCACCACCCCAGAGCTCAGCAGGTCTAGGGAGAGCCAGGAATTTGCATTTCTAATGCATCTCTCACCTTTCTACCAGGAGGACAAAGGTGAATCACCAAAGACAACTTTAGACCCTATCGACCTGGAAATAGCACGGGAGTAATCTACGTAACAGACTTCACTAACCAGCCTGTGTCTACCATTAGTTTCCCATATATTTATCTTTCCATATCTGCTGCTCTTAGAAGTCCAAAACCACTTTTCTTTGTCTTTTTTTTTTTTTTGCAAATTTTGTCTTCTTTGTTAAGGATGCTATACAAGCAGAGGTTTCAAGCCACCTCTTTGAGTTACTCATTTTTCTGAGTTTCTCTCATGTATATATGAGATATACACATTAATAAACTTCTGGTTGGGGTGCCTGGGTGGCTCAGTGGGTTAAAGCCTCTGTCTTCGGCTCAGGTCATGATCTCAGGGTCCTGGGATCGAGCCCCGCATCGGGCTCTCTGCTCAGCAGGGAGCCTGCTTCCTCCTCTCTCTCTCTGCCTGCCTCTCTGCCTACTTGTGATCTCTGTCTTTCAAAAAATAAATAAAATCTTTGAGAAAAAATAAATAAATAAACTTCTGGTTGATTTTCTCTTGTTAACCTATCTTTCATCACACGGGGCCCAGTCAAGTACTTAGAGGGGCAAAAGGAATGATTCTTTTTCTTCCCAAATAGAGACAAAGCCAAAGAGGTGAAATACAATTTTGTTTGGTCCTCTGCAGGAAAACTCTTCCCACCTTGCTCAAAGCCTGTGTTGCATGCCTGTGGCAACAGGTCCATGTAGCACACTCCCAGGAACCCATCTGTACCTGCTGTGGCCAAGGTTAAGGCCACTCACAGGATCCTGAGGATGCTGCCTTCCTAGCAGTTCCATCCAGGTCTTTCTCTCTAGGGGTGGCCAGGCAAACATAGATCCCAGAAGTAAACAGGACAAACAAATATTTCAGGAAGGACCCAGTTTTTGGATACAGAACTGAATCTAGCAGGGGACTAGCCCAATTCAGGAAGCTATTCCTCCTGATCTGACACAGAGCTCTCCAGCAGAATCCCCGCTCCTGCCACTAGGGCAGCCAAAGGCAGTGCTGCATCCCTTCCTGCCAGGCCTCAGAATCACTACGTAGTGACCTTGAGATCCTCCTACTCTGCTCTGGAAAAGGCAAATCTTCCAGAAGACACCCCCCAAAATAATTTCTATCACCTTACACTCATCCCCCATCTGTGATAACCAAAAAAATAACAGGCTTCCTATCCTTTGCTGCTAGTTTACAGTAAAAGCATATGCTTGCAGGAAACAGAATCCTGAACAAAAATTGGTGCTTATTTCACAATACTAAATTTCCAGTTGAAACCTACGCTGTCAGTTTAGTGGTTTCTAAACCACTCGCGACCTCTTAGGAGATGAGAGGAGCAAGGCCAGGAGACTGAGACAACAGATTTAGCCTTCCCCAGAGCAGAGGCAACCTTGTTGATCTTTTTATGATGATCACCCCTACTGAATAACACAACAAAATCACATCCCCACAGTTCCATCTTGAAACCAGGGTCACTGACACACAACTCAAGGTGTTAGGCCTCACGTCACTGCGGTTATCTGGGCCTTCCACATTCAGGAGGCCTGGCACTAGAGAACACTTAGGTCAACACCCAATACAGGAGGCACTGTCATTTGTTGCAGTCTAGAGCTTCGTGGGGAGGCAAAGAAAAGCCTCTCCCACTCACAAATCAGAACATTTTCCCAGCTTTCCCAATGGGTTGCCAAGTGACTCAGCATTGGCCCAGTGTGGGCACTATTATTGATGAGAAATCTTCCGCCTGGGTGATATACTGCATACAACACATGCCCAAAGAACAGTGCCAAGTCATACCAGGAAGAGCAGGCAAATTATTCACCTCCACTTTCAACACAGGCAAATCCTGTCTTAATGCAGAAGCTACTCAGTATCAGAAAGACAAAGCCCTAAGATTGTCAGAGACTTCCATCTGAGATTCAAGGAATTAGTAGGCAGAAGCTGTCCTTTCTTGTTCACTATTAAAAGGCAATCAAATTGAGGACAGCAGAGAAAAAGGGCAAGGAAAAAAATATTTTTTTCAAAAACAACCCCAGAGCCGAAAGCTGCATAAATGCCTTCAGCTTCCTAAATTCTGTCTTTGCGAGTCTACGAGCTCCGCCCAGAGGTCATTTCCAGAACTGCGTGTTCATTTAATTCAGAAAAAGAAAATCTGCATCTTCTGGGGTCCAGGGCCTAACATGCTTTGGGAAACTGGTGAAAATTCTCAGACAACATCCCCTCTTCCTTGCCTTTTGTTAACGGAATGTCCCTGAACTCTGAAATACAGGATACTCAGGGAGGCTGGTGAGATCCAGGAGGAAAATTCCCTTTGATATTCGTACCTGTCAAGGAACTAGTTGAGTTCCTGGCAGGTTGAACTCAGCGCAAAGAAAGCAGTGTGTTCAAAGAGTACTTTTAGAAGAAAAAGTGACAGCTCTCATTGAAATAAAATATACGACTGGAGAGCAACTCGGAGCAAACAGGAACATGTCTAATATTAGAAGAACTGAGAATAATGTGCCTTCAAGAAAGACCTATGTGCCACTTGCCTAGAAGACCCAACTGTAAGGTGCCCACCCCTTTATGCAAACTCAGACGATCTCCCCCTGAGGCGACCAGTCATACTTTCCAGAAACTGACTGCAGTCCCCAGAACAGTCCTCTGGTACCCGTCCTGTTCAGCACTTTCACACAGGCCTCATCACTCCACCCCAGCCTCCACATGGGTGACCCTCAGGCCACAAAGGGTCAGGCTAGGATCAAGAACCCCAGTGCTCTGCACTCTCGACCGTGCAGTGCAAGACACATTCTGTTCCAGATATCACAAGCTAGCCCAGCAAATCAATGAAGCCTTCAAAAAACAACAATATGTTGGTGCCAAAAGTTTCATCTACCATCTGGAGAGTTTCTCCTCACAGCCCGCATGCTCCTGCCTTCATCAGCTTGCGCCTTCCATGACTTAAGATGGCTTTGACAGATTCTCGAGGGGAAAAACATCCAACTTTCCCTTTGTCTTCTTCCAACACCTGCCACCCCCGGCCACCCAAGTTCTTCCTTCACTACAAACAGTGAACAGCCTTTTCATGTCTATTGACAAAAATATCTATGGCAATGTTCATCCATCTCAGGAGTATTAAAGCTCTAGAAAATACCCTTGCTAAACCTCTGTACAGTCTCATTTCAGTGAGGCTAAGCACTCCCAGAATGTTGCCCTCTTTGTTTTTTGTTGTTGCTGCTGTTGCTGTTGTTGTTGAATAGACTTGATTTTTTTGAGCAGTCATACGTTCACAGCAAAATTGAGAAGAAAGCACAGAGATCTCCCATAAAACCCCTGAGCCCACATGTGCATAGCCTCCCCATTAACAAACTCTCCCACCAGAGAGGTACATTTGCTACAATCAATGAACCTGCACTGGTACAGCATTACCACCCGGAATTCAAAGTTTATATTAGGATTCACTCTTGGTGCTGTACATTCTATGGGTCCGGACAAATGCATGATGACACCACGTATCCACCCCTATAGTATCAGAGAGGGTAGGTTCACTGCCCTCCCCTCTCCCCGTTTCTCAACCATAGGGCAAAATGATCTGTACTCAGCATGACTCAGTAGGACTCCAAGCAGTGTTCCCCAGCATCCCCCCTCCACCCCGAGCTGTAACAATCAGCAGGGGGACTGGCTGAAGTCACAAACGTTCAAACTGCACCATCCATCCACTAAATCAGACCTTGCTGGGGAGGGGCCCAGAGAGCTAGAGGGCATTTAGACATCCCAGAGGATTCCTATCATCAGCCAGGTTTTAAAATACCTTTCTAAAGAAGAAATGCTCCTAGTTCAGTCTCCCAGATACAGGGCAGCATCCATTCAGAGTGCAGGAGGGATTCCCTACCCCCTCGAGCTCCATCGGTCTGAGTCTTCATTGTTTAAGCAGCATGGCTGCCAATACTTCTCTCACTTACTCCTTCATCTTGTTACACAGGACCAGAAAATTGTACAAGGCCCACCAAGCGTCTACTTCTATTAGGCAACATTTTTGTGTTCCTATACCATGGTCTACTAGTGGTCTGTAGTTCATAAGTGTGCCATTTAGATCACTAGAGCAAAATGATGGGTTAGGAAAGTAGACCTGCTTGGTTGTGGGAAAGGATTTTCCCGAGGACATTTGCACACATCGTGCACGGAGCAGAAGGACACACAGCCAGTATGGGGTTTTCTTCTTTGGGCCTTGAGGGCTCTTCTGCCTGCTGCTGCCCATGGTTCCCCACTGCTCTGCATTCTGCCACAGCCAATGACTGTTTGTGGCAAAATTCGCTGGGCAGTGGGCCATGTGGCTCTTAGAAACAGCAATTGAGAGAGAAGGAAAGGCTGAATTACAAGGTGTTTGAAATGCAGTTCGAGAAAGAAAAAAAGTCAGATCTTATTTTCTCTTACCTCCCGGTGATGAAATCTATATATTCATCCCAAAACAGACACCTGACTCTGGGGTTATTCAGAGTCAAGAGCTCAGTCAATATAAAAATCAAGTACACAATACTGAGCATGAAAATCCATTACACGGAAAGTCGTATTTTTTTTTTTTTTTGATCAAAAGGACTCTTACCTTTTCCTTGGCTTTCCTTTTCGTCCCTGCATCCATCCACTCATTTTCTTTCTCCAGCATGTCAATAAAGGCCCAGCGAATGCCCTCAACCAGTTCCTCCATCTGCAAGGAAATACCCAGAGAGACAGGTCAAAACCAGTTAGATTCAGACAAGGTTTTCTGGGGCACAGGAAAGAGTTCAGTGCCAAACGTGGTGGGAAACAGGTTCCTTTCAGCTTGACTCCAAGCTCTGGCAATATTTCTTTCCCCAGGAAAATGCTTTTTTTCCCCATTACTAGAAGATAATTAATCATTCCTTTGCAGAGAACAATTGGATGGTCTAGTTGTAAAAGGATCATATGTCGAAAGGAATCCACCATAGGTTATAACTGACATTTCTCCATCTACTAAATTAAGCCATCCTTACCAAGGTGGCAACTAATTTCAATAGTTAAGGCTTTGGGAGAGACGTGCGAAGGCACGGGCTGTGCGTTTCAGGTGGGAATTCCAGAAGCAAGTGAGTGAACAGTTGAAGGAGATACTGTTAACAGGGAAATGGGCAGGGAGAGCCAGCACTCCAAGGGACTCCTTCCCAGTCTAAATCAGGCTTCTGTCAGGACCTAGTTTTCCCCAAACTGAGCGCCAATAGTCACGCCAAATGCTTTGCTATTCTCTGTAATCCTCTTGCTCTCCTCTCTACTCCCTTGCAGCTTAAAAAAGTCTTAGGTTATTTCAGACCTAAAATGGTAGGTCCGAATGAGGCTTCTACAGGAAAGCTGTCTCCAGAGAGACCTGTTCCAAAGTGTTTCAACAGTGAGACCACATACCCACAACGATGGTATGTTTGCCCTGGCTTTTCTTCCTGTGTTTATGGGCCAGCAGAGAGAACTAGGGAAGAGAGATGCTAACTCTTGCCTTCAGAGGCCCACGTAGAGGAGTTCTGGGGAGGTCCTGCCTGTTTCTAGGGACAAATCCCCCAAAATGTCATTCTCTCACAGAGATGCTTCGATTTTCTTGATAGGATACTCAAGAAAGAATAAATACTAGGTTTGGCACCAGAATTAAATTGTTCCCTTAAGATTAGGGGATTGAAAATCCATTTTTAGCATTAATTCTAGAAGGAACGTTTAGATGTTTCCTTGGTTCTATAATGAATTGTCGGCACAAAGCTCAAAATAATTTTTTTCTGTTTAATAAGTTTTCAGCTATGTTTTCAGTTCAATAACAGTTGTAAGGGAACCAGAACTGTAAATCAGTGGGCTGGGTTCCATCGTATGTAAATAAGAACAAACAGCAGATGGAAGGGGGTGGGGGGAACTTCACAGCTATTTTTTTCCAACTTAGTAAAAACATTAAGGGAACTCTCAACTTCAGTTTGGGGCATGACTGAAAACACGCAATGATAGAAGAGTTGTGGCCCTTTAAAATCATAAAGCCAATGGTTCTCAAGCCTGGTGATACACTATCTCTGAGGGGAGCTTTCAACAATCCTCAAGGCGGCAAGGCGGGAGGCTAATGTCAGGGTTCCAGGGTGCAGCCTGTGCTGGGAGGTCCAAACGCCCCCCCAGGTGATTCTACTGCGTAGCCAGGGTGCGGCCTCACTGGTCCGGGGAAGCCACTTATTTTACAGATAAAGAAACAAAGAGTCAAGAGAGTCCATGATCTGTTCCAGCTCTTGCGGCCAGGAAGGGTCAGAGCCAAGATTCAACCACGGAGCTGAATGACAGTTGTGAGCTCAGAACTTCCCGGACCAACAGAGCTGTGCCTCATACATGAGAGGAAAATGCCAGGGAAGTAAAAGGGAACCGACTGAGAGATGTACAAGTCACAATTTCAAACAAAGCCCGCATAAGGAGGATGTTAGAACGACAAGGAAGTCTCCAGTTTCTAGAATTTTTGCCTGTTCAGACATCAGCACCCTTCAGTCTTTGTGAACTCATCGCACGGCAGCCCCCATCAGCCTGCCCATGACGTTCCCATAAAAACTGAAACAGTATCTTCCCAAGTCAACTAAGGAGTGGGCAGCTAGGGTGGGAAAAAGTGGGTAAATTAATTTGAGAGAGACTCAGTGACCAAATCAATGGAAGCAGGTAATTAACTTTATGTAAGGAGGTGAGCAAAGGACAGAAGGTCAGATTACTTCCCAGGCTTGAGGCATGGGCAACTAGGTGAATGCTACTGCCATTTTCTAAGACCAGGGATGCTGGAAGAGAAAGAGGGCTGGGGACAAAAGCCTCACTTCAGTGGGATGAAGGGTGCATGGGCAATGGAGGCAGCAAGTCTGCACAACCCGGTCAAGGAGTCTGTCTACTCTCAGAGGGCAAGAATCCCTGACCCCTTCGAGGGTCCTTCTAGCTGGACTAAGAATCAAACTGACATGAGACAGGTTAATAGGAGAAAATCAAATTTAATAGAGTATGTAAGGGGAATCCCCATAGATGTGGAAATTCCAAAGACAGGCAAGATGAGGTACACACGTCATTCTGAACTAAGGACAAAGGGGTCGGGGTTCTGGGACTTCAGAGGAAAGGGAGGCACTTCACAGGGCAATAAAAAGAGCAAGTGTTTGGTAATTAGATATTTGTCCTGCCACACAGATGGGTCATTCAAATAAAATCTATCTCTGCTAATAACCCTGACTCTGGGAAAGACTCCCATTGAGATTCTTCTCTGTGGTTAAGGGAAGGGCGAAAGCTTCCCTTGAGCCCATATGGTCTCAAGTGCCTTCAGCTCAGACGAATCTCGATGCCAAAGCAGCCCATCTTGGGGCAGCCTGTCCTGGGTTTCTACACTACGAAGGACAGAAAGCAAAGATAAGGCAGAGGGAGATGTAGGGTTAAGAGAGGAGATGGAGGGCTTGGGGTTTGGGGTTTGTTGCTGCTGCTGCTGTTGCGTTGTTGACCATGTGAGACATCTAACCGTGTTTAAGCGTCACTGGAAACTCAACAATGAGAAAACAACCAAAGTGATTTTAAAATGAGCCAAAGACATAAGTCAATCAGAGAAAGACAACCATCATATGGTTTCACTCATATGAGGACTATAAAAACAGTGCAGAGGATCACAAGGGAAGGGAGGGAAAATGGAATGAGATGTCATCAGAGAGGGAGACAAACCATGAGACTCTTAATTATGGGAAACAAACTGAGGGTTGTGGAAGGGGAGGTGGGTGGGGGGATGGGGTAACTGGGGGATGGGCATTAAGGAGGGCATGTGATGTGCGACTGGGTTAGGGTTAGGATTAGGGTTACTGACGAACTATTGAACACTACATCTGAAAATAATGATGTACTGTGTGGACTAACTGAATTTAAATTTAAAAATAAAGAATAAACCTAAAACGAGCCAAAGACATTAACAGTCACCTCCCTAAAGAAGACATACACATGACAAGCATAGGAAACGGTGCTTCCCATGATTGGTCATCAGAAAAATGCCAACTGAAACAATGAGACACCACTACCCACCTATTAGAATGACCCAAACCCACAACACTAACACCGCAAAATGCTGGTGAGGCTGTGTAGCAACAGGAACCCTCATTCACAGCTGGTGGGAGTGCGAAATAGCAGAGTCCCCCTGGAAAGCAGTTTGGCAGTTTCTTAGAAAACTAAACATAATCTTGCCACAGGAACCAGTGACCATGCTCTTGGTTATTTACCCTAAGTAAAGGAACTTACACCAACACAAACCCGGCCAAGGATGTTTAAAGAAGCTTTATTCATAACTGTCACATCTTGGAAGACCCCAAGATGTGCTTCAGGAGGTGAGTGGATAAACAAACTGTGGTACTTCCAGACAACGGAATATTATTCGGCCCTGAAAAGAAATGAGCTAGCAAGCCATGAGAAGACAGGAAGGAACCTTAAGTACCTATCACTACGGGATAGAATCCAACCTAAAAAGGCTACATACTGTATGTTTCCAACAACAGAACATACTGCCAAAGGCGAAACTACAGAGACAGTGTAAAGATTGGGTTGCCAGTGAGAAGAGAGAGCAATGACCAGACAGCACACAGAGGATTTTTAAGGCAGTGAAACTACACTGTATGACAGCATAATGATGGATACAGGTCACTATGTTTTTGTTTTGTTTTTTCCCAAATGCACAGAACGTGTGACACCAAGAGTGAACCTTAAACTGTGGGACTTTGAGTGATGTGTGTCAATGTATGTTTGCCATTGGTTAAAAAAAAAAAAATGTACCATTCCAGGGAACAATGTTGGTAACGGGGGAGATTCTGTATGTGTGGGGTCAGGGGGTTCATGAGAAATGTCTGCATCTTCCTCTCAGTTTTGTTATAATCATAAAACTGCTGTAAGATAATTTAAGTCTTTCTAAAAATTACCAAAAAAAGTACTGACAGAAAGGATTCAGTGAAGAGGAAGAGATTGAACACACAGGAGCTGGGCCCTGAGAGGGCAAAGCGGGACAGGACCCGGAGAGTACATGAGGCAGGATTATGAGAGGAGGGTAAAATGATGGACAGGAATGCAGAAGGATCTTTAGATTAGATGGTGGAAGGCTGACAGTCTTCATGCAATGGTGTCTTTTCCCCATGAAATAAGAGCAAGATCTTCGGCTAAAAGGGTGTTTCTTGAAAAAAAAAAATCAATTTCTTCACATTCACCTGTGTTCATCCTGGCAATGTGAACATACTGGTAGGAAGAGAGGTATTTACAGATGAGAACAAAGATGGCAATGAAAGAGTTGCTCTCAGCACCCTGGCCAACATGTGGTGATAACCGAAAGCACCTAAAGAATACATAAAAAGCTGAACATGTCCAAGGAAAATACCTGGAGTAAGGAGTATGAAAACTAATCTGTTTCACTATGGTTTAAAATAAATGACTTAATCAAATAGAACAAAATAAACACTACCCAAGCCAAAGAGATCTTTGGCAAATACATGTATTTTGGAATTTCTGGACTCCTACAGAGTATCTTAAGTTCGTTTCACCCCTATTTGCTTTGGGGTATGCTTTGCTCCTATTTGCTTCGGGGCACTTTTATGAAGTATGTACCTATTATTAAACTGAGGTTAGGGCACCTGGGTAGCTCAGTCCATTAAGTAAGTGGCTGACTCTTGATTTCAGGTCAGGTCATGATCTCGGGGTCAT